GGGCTGTGCGAGGGGGCCTCCCCCCTCCTCCATCTGCTGGGATATTTTTTTTTTTAAGTCCACAAATGACAATGGCAATAAGGGCATGTGAAATCCAGGGAGACTGAATGGGACTGAAAAGCTGCCCCCCACCCCCAGCCATGTGCACTGGAGGTGTTGGGCTTAGAAAATAACAGGTAAGAACTTTTTTTTTTTTTTTTTTTTTTGCTTGCTTGCTTGCTTTCCAGGAGCTCTTAATGCCCGAAGCACGCCCAGAATAAAAGGGGGGAGCGGAGAGAGGCCGATGTGCCCTTCAGTGCCTCCTCCATCCTGCCCTGGGAGGCGGCCGAGCAGAGGCGCTCCCCCGGCCTGGGGGCGCTTCCCACCTGGCCCCGGCGGGGCCGCGGGGAGGGGGGCAGCAGCCGAGCCCATATTGGATGTGCTTTCTCCCCCCCGCCCCCAGCCACGGGCTCGGATTGTAATGATTTATCCCTCCAACCCCTCTGGGCAGGCGCTGCCGGAGACGCTGGGATGTCCTGCCTCGTGCAATACTAGACACTGATCGCCGGCCTCCACCAGACCCGTCCGCCTCCCGGATCCGGCACTGCCTTTTTTGGGGGGGGACGAGGGGGGGGAGAGGAGAGAGAGAGAAAATGAAGGAGGACGCGGCTGCAGGGTTGCATTGATCGCTGCCCCCCTCGCCCATCCCCCCAGCACAAAACCCAGCCGGGCTCCGCTTGCACCGGGACCTCCTCTCCTCGCCTCGCCTCGCCTGGCAGCGCCGCGGCGGATGCATTTTTCATGAGCCCGAGGTGAACAGGTGCAGGCGGCGGGGCCGGGAGCGGCAGGATGGAGAGCGGCGAGCGGGACATGTACCGCCACTTCCAGGACTGGTGCCTGCGGACCTACGGGGACTCGGGCAAGACCAAGACGGTGACCCGCAAGAAATATGAGCGCATCGTGCAGCTCCTGAATGGCTCCGAGTCCAGCTCCACGGATAACGCCAAATTCAAGTTCTGGGTCAAATCGAAAGGCTTCCAGCTCGGCGGCCCGGACGACGGCGGCGCCAAGCAAGTGCTGTACGTGCCGGTCAAGACCACGGTGAGTAGAGGCGCCCGCCTTGTTCCCCGCGTGCTGGGGCCCGCCCGCCGCGCCGCGCCGCGCCGCTCCTTGCTCCGCTCTCCCCCGGCTGCATTGCCCTTCCTTCCTTCCCCCGCGGGCCGGGGTCCGGCCTGGGCTATTGTCCCGTCCCCTCCATCGTAGGCAGGCCAGGCCAGGCGTGGGCTTGCAGCTGCACCTTCTTGCTCCTAGACGATCCCGATCGATCCAGCCCGCTGTCTCCTTATTGGCACGAAGCCCGCGGTGGCGCTGGGCGTTTATTTGGGGGGGGGTTTCCCCAAGGCTCTCTTATTGTTAGCCCGCAGACGCAGAGAAAATTGTGCCTCGATGCCTCTGGAGCGGTGCCGCGGTGCGAAAAGGAAGCGAGCAGAGGAGGATCAACAAAGAGAGCTAGGCTGCCATACAAGCGAATGGGAGATTTGTGTTCCCCTGCCTGGGATTGCGCGAGTCTCAGAGCCATAAAGCTTAAACTCAGGCGATGCGATCCAGTAGCGTTGCAGCCCTTAGCAGAGGCTGCAGCTGAATCGCTTAGATGCGGGGCTAACAGCGGAAGAGCTATTATGCTTGGTGGTGGCAGGAGAATTTCCTATTTAAGAAGATGGGAACTATTGGCTACAAGTAGGTTTGCATCTTGAACTCGTTAATATGTCATTTTCCCCTCTCTTCCCCACCCCCCCCTTTAAATACTGCTACCTCATCCGAGGTGAGGTGTTTAAGATGACATGGACAGAAATGTCTAGTGTTTATTTGGGGCTCTAAGGAGGGGAAATGTGGGCAATCCTGTATTTCTGAGGGACAATATTTTTTTTCTCTTGCATCAAAACCTCATTCTGATCTAATGAAATACAATCCTGGCTGGCACAATAAAGAAGGTTTTTTTTCTAGAAAAGTATCCTAGGTTTAATTATGGCATATGCTCCTAGGGAAAATCTAGAAATTCTGTTCATGCATCTGCTTTGGGAAATAATAAGCTGGTACCCCAAATGCATTGATTTATATTTGTCCCCTTCCAATCATTGCTGCCTGTTGTCAAGAAGTATAGATGTGGAATTAATTTTTAAGGTATATAAAAATATGAAAATTGAAAGTGAAAGAGAATGTGCTCAGAGCAGTGTTTATGTTCCCTCCCACTGCTTTTATTCACAAAGGGTTCTAGGTCTACCTATTGGTCTGGTTTAGGCATATTACTGTTCAATAGCAGGTTGTTAATCTTTGATCCTAGAATTTATTATAGAGCAAACATATTTGGGAAAGAAGTTTGAAAATAAAGCCTAGATCAAAATCTTAGCTAAGACTGAAATATGATTTTTAGTTTGATGGACTGCTTATTCTTCCACTTACTGGAACACTATATTTTGAATAGTTTAAGAAGCAAGATATCTTCATTCTTAAGGGTTTCCTTTCCAGAACAAGTTCATAACTGCAAGCTAATTCCTATATTTTGTGGTAAAACTTAAATTAGCTGATAGACTTCTGAAAATGAAGAGCTGTTCAGGGCCTTTCAAAGACCTTTCATGATAGCACCATCTAGCACATTTTCTATCATTTTACTAGGCCATGAGGGCTTCATTTTCTTGCCCCCCCCCTTTTTCTTTTAGCAGATCCCTGTGTCTGGTGGTACTCTCATGTTTATTTGCTAGAAATATTATTTAAGTGTTGGTATGCATAGTGGCATTACCTTTGTTTTGATTTGGAACCCTATGACTATGTGCATGCTTGTATATTTAGCTACCTATTTCTAGGGATTATAAAAACCAAAGAGGTCCCATAACAAAAGCAGGAGCAGAAAATGACCATGATACTATTTCTAAGTATTCTAAAAATATGTATACATTATTTTGATTTACTAAATATAAAATATTAAGGAACAGGCCCTGCAGTCTTAGATCAGGTAAAACTTCCAGGTAACTTCTATTTGCCTGAGTATTTTGGTCCCCCAAATCTGCTTTTCACTGTAAACAAGAACTGAATAAACACAGAATTCAGGTATAACTAGCAGCTACTACAAACAAATGACCCCCCATATGCACACTTAAACACATTTAACCAACTTCATGCTCCATTCTTAGAAGGAAGCAATGTTATCAAGCACATCTTTAGAGTGGCATCTATCTAAGATAATAGTTTGTATAGACTATGTGCTGAATAATCCAAAGAGTATTGTTGTATGTCTTATTTGTAGAATCTCCATCCCATTGACTGAATAGGTCTAAAATTTGATCCTGTAATGTCAAATGATATTTTAGGCACAGCAAGCCAAGGTTTTCAGGTGGCAACCTTGAGTGTTACTGTGCATCTGTGAGAAGCCCATCCTCTCATTCATTTAATCAAATCCAGATAACATTTTGAAGGGTTTATTCATTTATGAGCATTCAGGGCTATGCCTGTTGTCTTGCACCATTTTTGTGTCAGTGTTGCCACAAACTTGATCTTATCCTGCCCATAGAGAAAGCCACAACTGAATATCAAAACTTAGAAGAATTAAAACAAACAAACAAAAGTTTGCATCACTGATCTCTCCATAGGTGCAAGCAATTTCAATGCAAAATGAATTGCCATTGGTAATTCTGGCCAGCACTAGTCTCTCTGAATTCATAACGTGGATGAAATTGCAGTTTTAACTCCAGAGTCCTAAGCTGGTAAAAAATAAGCAAATAATGTTTGACTACTTTGTTAGGAATTCTCTCTTTGACGCTTCAAGGTTTGTTGCTCATCTTTGCTGTCAGCCAGAGAGATTTGCTCCTGATGGTGCTGTAATCCACTGCTGCTGGTAATTAGACATCATTACTGCTGCGTTAAAGGGAAAGAGAGAAGGGGAGAGGACAGGCTGGGGCTAATTAACTACTTGATTCTAATGAAAGAAGGAGAGACTGATAGCAACTGGGAGGTTGCACCGGAACAGACTAGACATACAACACAGACTTAATTGAAGCAAGGGTATCTTGCAGGTTTATAGTAGCTGAGTTTTGGTCCACTTCTCATATTCCATGGACAGTGAGATACTTGCTAGGTTTTGTTCTATTTTTCTGTTACTACTTTGGCGAGCACTTTGAAATCCCAGGACTGCTTTAAATATCAACTTAAACATGTAGGCAAGGAGAATATATATGTAGATATGTGTAGGCTTAATCTATTTTGCTGCCTTGGTTTCTTCAAGAGCAACAGGAACGAATCAATCTCTGAATGTTCACATCCCTCTGTGGCCTAGGAGATGCACTTTTGGTCACCAAGCAACAGCATCCTGCAAAACAGCCATTTTAGGTCCAGAGTGGGATGACACTGAGTGAAGTATTTGCATATATGGTCCAGTGAACATCCCACTTCTGCCACTTTTCACATTGCTGCCATTCTCATCGGATGTTCTTTCATTAAGCCCAAACTGCACTTCATAAGAATAGTGAAATGATGCTTAACTTAGACACATTACATAAAAATGTTAAACTGAGAAATATGCCAAATGGCTGACAATAATTGGTATAAACTTTTAAAGGTTGCGACCCAAAATCACTCATGCGTACAAACAGCATTACTAATATAGTATCTATATAAATGATTTTTGTGATGGGTTTCCTTGTGGTCTGTCAAGTTGCTTAGCTAAAATTAGTGCCTGATGAATAATTTGAGAACATGGAACAAAAAAATTATTAGTGTGATTCATAGGCAAAAATGGGCAACCTAAAATCTGCCTGAGTTTAGATACTGTTGTCTAAACTGAGATAATGTCCATGTCATATCAGAACTCCATGTTCCAGGTAGCAATCTTTTGTCTAAAAATAAGTGGCCCAATGTACAGACTATATACTATGCATAAATCTACAGGAACAGAAACACTCATGGCAGATTCTTCTATCCATTACAACCATGTAAATCTGATTTAACTCTGTGGACTAGAATGGAGGTACTTTTGTATAAATGACATCACTATCTGCCCCTATGTATGAATTTTCCTGTATCTCCTCATATTTTCCCTACTTGGGAACATAAAACCAATCTTTAAAAAGCAAAACTGTTAGCTTTGGTTAGAACCTTTGATCTTGGTCCTTCAGGAAGGTCTGGTAGTATGCTGATTTCCATTAGCAGAATAATGGAGCTTTCTGATTACAGGATTGAGGACCTTTAAGGGTTAGTAGATTTAGCAGAATTGGTTGTATCCCCACATATTCCTTGTTCTGCTATTGAAGAGCTAGATCAGAGTGAAAATTTGGTTATAAGAATTTCGTTCATTTCACTTTAAGGGATGTGCATTTGATTATGAACGCTAACATATAAGAAGTGCATTAAAGATAGTTTAGATATTAAAAGTGGAGATGTTATTATTATCATGTGGTTTTGAATTACTTTCGTTCTTGTGACCTGTTTATAGCAATTTGAAAATGTGAAGCGTTGCTTTAGTACCTTTTGCTTTATTTTGTAGCAGTCAGGATCACAGATGAACAACAGTTTGGAAAATGTATGTTGGTAGCTCTGTAAGCTGATGAACTGCCAGCATACAATAGGAGTAAGTACCTTGTAAAGGTGAAACAATATCATTATTAGAGTGATATTGAGGGTTGGCTATAATTTATCCGAAAGTATGCTTCTGCAGCAGTTCAGTTCTGTTAAGCACTCCCCTCATCACTCAAGAGCCCTCCTTAATCCCCAGTACCCTACAGCATCTTGTTTATTCTGCCTATCCTTCACATCTCTGTCAGACCTTCAAAGATCCATCTCTTCTCAGTTCCCATTCCCTATTTACCTTGCCTCCTTTTCTAATGGGCTCTGTGAGGAGTGAGGCTAGTAAGTCAGATGAACCCTGTGAAAAACCAGGCATAACTAATGGATCAAAACTGCATAGGTGGCTACTCTTGGCTGTAGATGGGTTAGATTTCCATTAATAGTGTTATGCAATTTATTTTTTTAAAAATGTTTTTATTAAACCTGTTGTTTTTGTGCATGTATGATATTCTAGATTTTTCAGTAAGTGTTTGTTTAGCTTGAGATAC